AAGTTGGACTTTCTCCAAGTTCTTCATCCATCCTCATTTCCTATTTATTCCTAAAGGCATCTCTCTTCCCCTCCTTGAGATTTAAATCCATAGTATTGTTAGTGGCCACCATATTTATTATAACAGCCTAGATCTCTTAGAAAACTGAAATCTCAATGTTTCCTATCACCTCTCAATTTGTCTGTTGTGGTTAATTTAATAATTTTGAACTTTTCCTGACTTATTTCACTTAATATAGCAGTTTTGAGGGTTCATCTGTATTATAGAAGCAATACTTGATTGTTATTTTTATTTTTGAATTCTTGTTTTGTTGGTTGTGATGGTGAGGGTTTTGTTTGTTTTGAGAGATGGTCATCCTGTGTAATGAAGGCTTACCCTGAGTTTGCACCTGGTCCTTCCACTGCAGCCTTCTAAATGCTGAGATTAGAGGCATGTGCCATCGTGTCCAGCATGCGTTCCTTTTTATGTTCAAATAATATACCCTTGTATTAATAATATAGTTGGATGATAAAAGCATGATTTTTTGAACCTCTTTGTGGCTTGAATGATAGGGAATTTGAAGCTGTAGGTTGAAAATAAAGTTATTTATATGATTTAGATTCAATGTGACATCAAAAATACTGATGTTTAGACCTTGAGTTAAATTCTGCCAAACCATCTTTTATCTTTCTTTTTTTAAAGAATGAGGCTATAGGCTAGGCGTTGGTGGTGCATGCTTTTAATCCCAGCACTTGGGAGGCAGAGGCAGGCAGATCTCTGTGAGTTCGAGGCCAGCCTGGTCTACAAGAGCTAGTTCCAGGACAGCCTCCAAAGCTACACAGAGAAACCCTGTCTCGAACCCCCCCCCCCAAAAAAAAAAGAGGCTATAGTCACTTTTAAACCTATGAAGTCTCATTCTGTAGTATTTAGCTTTTGGAAAGATAAGCTGCTTTGTTGCTTCCTGTGACTGGCTGCATCTGTTTACTACTTTTTAAGACTTTGTGGAATCCATTTCTATAACATGTTTTTTTCCAGGACAATTGAGCTTCATTTTGGGACATATAATGACCTTTCTTTTCAGAGTTTGAAACAAGGCATCATTTTCAGTGAAATAAATGTCTTTGTGTTTAAATAACATTATTGAATTAACATTACAAAATACCAGCTGTTAAGAGACAGCAATGTATTTCCTTCAGAGTTTGAGGCCTGGTATTCATGAACATATAAAAGCACCAAACATTTACTTTGAAGATTATACATAAAACTGTTTATTTCAATGTGGACATTAAATAAATCACCAGGATCAGATGATATTTTAAATTAGGAGTCCAGACATTATTCTTCATAATGAATGTATCCATTTTCTAAAGCCATTTAGGAATTTCCCCAAACAGATCGGTGGTGGTCTCCTTTTCATGAAAGATTTATAAAGAAGTAAAAGACTGGTTTTTAAAAATGAATTTCATAAGGGAAATACTTTGACTGGATGTTAATATGAATAAGCTAAAAAAAAAATCATAGAATCTGCAGTTCTAAAAGATATAAACCATTTGTGAAGAACACAAATCCAGTTTAAAAGACCTTTTCTTGGCTAATTGGAGAAGAATTACCCAATGTTAGTATCAGAATTTAGCATAATAGAGAACCTTAGTAATAAAATGTTACACTCTGTTGGTGCTGTAAGGAACGAGATCTTTGGAGGTGTGGTAAGTCAAGTTCTCTTGATGTGAAATGTAGACAGACAGTGTTATTCAGTTTCTCTGGGGTATTGAGTAGGAGGTCAGAATAGTCACTGGACTAACGGTGCACACTGATGGAGTAAATGTGGCTGGACCTTGTGGTGAGTAGGTGTGATTACTACCACAAGGAAGATGAAAGCAGGAGATCCAGAGTTCAAGGTTACTCTCAGCTACACATCAAGTTAGTGGCTAGGCTGTGTTTCATGAGACTCTGTCTTTAAAAAGTATAAATGAGTAAATAAATGCATTTATATTGTGGAAAGGAATGAACACTTATCAGAGCAAAAGGAAATATGTGGTTAAACGGTTTCAACTTTAACTGTAGACTGTTTCCCTTGCTCAAATGGGAGAAGAAATAGAACCTTATGTTTTTGAAGAGTCTTCTTTTATAAGTAGAAATGGGTTCAATATGGTAAGGAGAAAAATATACATACACAGTATAAAGGCATAAATCCTATAGATTTATGTTACACAGGTACCTGGAGAGTAACTTTTCTTTTGGGGTATTCAAGACAGGATTTCTCTGTGTAGCTTTGGAGTTCCTGTCCTGGAACTCACTCTGTAGACCAGTCTGGTCTCAAACTCAACAGAGATCTGCCTGCCTCTGTCTCCCAAGTGCTGGGATTAAAGGCATGTCAGCCTTTCTCTTAAAATGAGAAACTCGCCTACCATTTGTCTGTCATATATAAGTAATAAAAATGTCATTTCTGTTCATAAAACACTAGACTGGTCCAATGATGACATTTTGTGTATGTAGATGAAAATCTTGCTCATGAGAATGTTTGATTATTTGGAGTTTTGAAAATTCAGTGAAGTTCCACTTCTTCTGAATTTTAAATATCTTATTCAAGGGAGTAAATGATTTAAATTTATGCTGATTTTCATTCAGAAGCCCATGTTGAGTGAGGTAGAGAAGATATAAAGAAAAAAATGTGTTAAATAGCCAGGTATGGTGGACACAAGACTGTAATTCAGTACTTGAGTGGTAGTTGTAGGAAGATCAGTTCAAGGCCAGCCTGGGCCACATGAAGTTCTGTCTCAAAAAAAAAAAAAAAAAAAACTTTGTTATTTTTAATTTTAGTTATTTCATTTTTGATATTATATATTCACATCATTTTCCTGTTCCCTTCTTCCTCCTTAATTACTTTCTTGTTTTTTCGAAATGGGGTTTCTGTGTCCTGGAACTCACTTTGTAGACCAGGTTGGCCTCAAACTCACAGATTCACCTGTGTCTGCCTCTAAAGTACTGGGAGGTACCACCATGCCTGGAAGGGTGGGTATGGTTACTCTTGACTGTAATCTCAGCATTTAAAGTGGAAGTAGAATGACTCTGATTTCAAAGCCATCCTGAGATCCATAGCAGTTTGACATTAGGGCAGAGAAGATTGTAGGAACTATGGTAAATATTTATCTTGATTAGTGTTTACAACCATCCTTTCTACTTGGATCCTTATCCTTGAGAAAAATCAGTCAATGAGAAAATTAATGTGGTGATTGGAAATCTCAGTTTGGAAATTCTGCCTAAAGTGACTCTTGCTCTAGTGTTATTTAGTTGAAAACTTTTGGTGACTGTATTGGTTATCTTTAGAGAAGAAAATATGAAACTGTAAAAGTTCAAGTTACCTCGGTGTATAAGAATGTTGAAATTTCTCACAATACTAAAGGTTTGTAAGATGAACAGGTTTTTTTATTTTATGTGCACTGGTATTTTATTTGCATGTCTGTCTGTGAGAGGGTGTCAGATTTTGGAGTTACAGACAATTGTGAGCTGTCATGTGGATCCTGGGAATTGAACCCAGGTTCTCTGCATGAGCAGCCAGTGCTCTTAACTGCTGAGCCATCACTCCAGCCCCAAGATGAATATTTTTGAACACAGCAAGTTTTAAATAAAATTTATTGATACCTTTTTAAACTTGAGACATAAAGTGTATTATATATTTTAAATTTTTCAGTGACTTAAGATGTTACAGCATTTTTCTAACATACACGCAGATAGTGATATTAGTGTATTATAAGATCTCTTTATTGTACTAGAAATAATTTTGTGGGAGGAGTTCACATTACCACTAATTAAGAATTAATTCTGGCACGTGGGAGGCAGAGGCAGGCAGATCTCTGTAGTTCAAGGTCAACCTGGTCTACAGAGTGATTTCCAAGACATCCAGGCCTACACAGAGAAACCCTGTCTTGGAAGAACAAAAATACCTACAGTTTTTACACATTCTGTACCCCCCTCTCTAGTCTGTGGTACAAGGGATAAAACTAGGGGCCTTGCACATGCTAGGGAAACCTGAGCTATTTTCCGGTCCTTTCACAAATCCTATGAAATTTTCTTTTTAAAGTAGTCAAGAATTATAACTGGAAATAAAATCGTAAGGGCTAATGAGATACAGTTCTATGACAGAATGCTTGCCTCACATGCAGGACCTCACATGTCAGGGTTAATCTCTGTCATCACAAAAAGGAAAAATTTACTGGATGAAACCCAAATGTAAGGTTTATATGTGTACTTTCCAGGCCAAGCCTGGTAATGCACACCCTTGATTCCAGCACTTTGGAAGCAGAGGCAGGAAGATCTCTGTGAATTCAAGGCCAGCCTGATTTGTATAGTGAGTTCCAGGACAACAGAGCGAGCCACATAATGAGCCCTTTTTCAAAAAAAAGATTTTAAAAATTTAATTATATATGCACTTTCCCTATAATTCAGAAAACTTCAGGATTGACAAGTAAGCTTAATCCTTTGTATTTTCATATCTGTGGCTGCAAAGATAGCTTAGCAGTTAAAAAAAGAAAAAAAAACTGGCTTCTCTTCAGATTCTCAGCACCTACATCGTGACACATAACCATCTGTAAACTCCAGGTCTAGGGACCCAGCACCCTCTTCTGGTCTCTGTAGACACTGCATGCACAAGATGCACAGACATACATGCAGTCAAAACACTCATACACACACACACACAGAAAAAAAAATTTCATGTCTAGGGCTAGAGAGATAGCTTAGCTGTTAAGAGCATTGTGGCTGCTCTTCCAGAGGTCCTGAGTTCAATTTCCAGAACACACATGGCAACTTAGAACCATCTATAACTATAGTCCTGTGGAATCCAATGCCCTCTTCTGGTGTGTAGATGTCCATGTAGACAAAACTTCCATATACATTTAAAAAAAAAAAAAAAAAAGGAATCCTAAGGGAAGAAAATTGGGTCTGATGGCTTTTTATTGGTTTTAAACAGTCTTTTTTATGTTTTTTGTTTGTTTGTTTGTTTGTATTTTGTTTATTTTTAGGTGTACTTGAAGGCTCCCATGATTCTGAATGGAGTATGTGTCATCTGGAAAGGCTGGATTGACCTCCACAGATTGGATGGTATGGGTTGCCTGGAGTTTGATGAGGAGCGAGCCCAGGTAGGGTGATTTCAGACTTTTATTTAGCTCCTAATCTTGTCTTTGGGGAACTATTTTACCTTATCTTTAGAGTAGTATGTTTGGACTTTTGGGGCGATTTAGCAGGTAAAGGACACCCGCTGTCATGCCTGAGGACCTGAGTTTGATCTCCAGGACCCACATGGTGGAGAGAACTAACTCCTATAAGTTGTCCTTTGACCACTATGCACGTGCTGTAACAGGTGTGCACCCATACACATGTATACACCCACAAAACAAATAAAATATAATAAAATATTTTTAAAAAATAAAGAGTAATAGTGTCTTAGGGTTATCATTGCTGTGAATGAAACACCATTACCTAAAGTTGGGGAGGAAAAGGGTTTACTTGGTACCAAACCCACAATGGGCTGTACCCTTCACCATCATCAACTAAGAAAGTGCCCAGAAGGCTTGTCTACAACCTGATTCCATGCAGGCATTTTCTCAGTTGAGGCTCCCATGCACTCTGATAATAATAGTTTATGTTGAGTTGGCACAAAGCTAGCTAGCACAAAGAGTATGTCCATATAATAAATAATCTTGAAAATATTAAAGACCACATTCTGGTCCTAATTTGTCCTTCAGTGGAAATCTCCTGGTTATTCATTGGATTACTGTGTCTGCCTGGTGGGAATTGAAAGTCTAGTAAATGATTCTTTTTCTTTTGGGGGGAGGGGGCGGGCGTTTTGACACAGGGTTACTCTGTGTAGCCTTGACTGTCCTGGAACTCTGTATACCAGGCTGGCCTCAAACTCAGAGATCTGCCTGACTCTGCACAGTGCTCGTATTAAAAGGATGTGCCACCACCACCTGGCTAAATGATTCTTTTCAATACTTTTTCTTGGTTTGTCAGAACACTGTGTGAGAGAGGGAAAGAAATAATTGATAAAGCACATATAAGAAAACTCTTTTAGATTGACTGAGTGAGGAGCTTGGCAAATATTTTCCTTAAAAGGCATTAATAAACTTGACAGAAGCTGTTTTAAAACAAGCAAACAACTGGGTGTGGTGGTGCATGGCTTTCATACCAGCATTTGGGAGGCAGAGGCAGGTAGATCTCTTAGGATCTACCTAAGATCCTCAAGGTCAGCCTGGTCTGTATACTGAATTCCAGCAGCCAACACTACACAATGAGACCCTATCTCAAAAAAAAAAAAAACCAAACCCACTTTCTGTAAGTTCTTTGGAAATTAACCAGAGGATACAGATTGAGACACTTACATCCAGGCATAGGTGTTGATTTTTGTTAAGATCAGTGAGTCTTTGACAGTGTAGTCAGGACCCAGTGTGTGGTCCTTTAAGTTATACCCTGGGCAAGACATTAGGGCTACTAGCTCTGCTGTCCTGTTTGAGAGAACTAACTCTTTTCCTAAGAGCACAGCTTGGAGAGTGGAAGTGGGATCCATATTCAGAGATGTTGTTAGAAAGCAACATTGGCAGAGAATGCAGCAAAACTGTTGTTACAGGAAGCAACAAGGTGACAGACCAAACAGAACTTTACCATACCATGTAGGTCCAGGGAAACAGATAGCTAAACAGATCACATGTATGTGATCCTGGAAGCACTAACTATCTGTCTAAACACAGTAGAATTGGCAAACTCCCTGTTCTTGGAAAGCATTTCCCCAAACTATATATATAGATCCAGTAACTGGATTTAAGCAAAATAGAAGATCAGGCGTTGGTTTAACAGCTAAGCTATGTTGGCCCACAGGTAGCCTCACAGAAAACAAACCTTAAAAAGAAAAGTGGAAGGATGGGGAAGCTGGCTCAATAAATAAAGTGCTTACCATGCAAGTGTGGAGACTAGAGGTCAGATTCCCAGAACCAGTATAAAGCTGGATGCAGTAGCAACCGTCTATAATTCTAGTGTGCATACATTGAGATGAATGGCAGAAACAGAAGAGTTCTCAGTAGCCATGGTCATAGTTACTCAGGTGGCTGAGGTAGGATGACAAGCTCAAGATCTTCCTGGACTACAAAGCAAATTCAAGACCATCCTGGGCTTACATGGTGAGTGTGGCTTAGGGAAGAGCACTTGCCTAATACCTCACGAGGTGTCCTGAATTCAGTTCTTAGTACTGAAAACAACAATAAAAACACACAGGAAAAAAATAATTTAGAAGTCTTTACCCATTCTTTATTTCATCACATGCCACATTATTTCTGGTTTTGGTGGGCTTTTGTTGTTTTGTTCTTTTTCCTCTCAGTACTGGAGACTTAATTCAGGGCCTTACATTTTTTAGGAAAGTGCTTACCACTGTGCTACATTCCTTGACATTCATTATTTGGGTTTTTGCGTTTGCTTTTGGTTTATCTTGAGATACTGTCTATATAGCCCTGGCTACTCTGTAAATCACTGTAGGTCAGGCTGGCCTCATACACATGATAATTCTCCTACCTTTACTTCTGCCTCTTAAGTACTGAAATTGTAGATGTATGTTCAAACTGGTTTAAATTTGCATCAAAAAAATTGTAGATGTACATACATCACTGTGCCCTGCTTTTTCAAAATTTTTCCTTTTTTTGTTTTTTTGAAAAGGGTCTCAAGGTAGTTGATGCTTATGTCAAACTCAGTATGATATAGAGGCTGGTTTTAAACGCCTGATCCACCTACCTCTGCTTTTCAGTAGCTGGAATTATAACATTATGTCTTATATTTCCTACTACTGAAGAGACAAATGTGTACCTAAGTTTGGATTTCAGCACCCAAATAAAAAAAGCCAATCATGGCCCCTGTAGTCATGTAACCCCAGCACTGGGAAAAAGCAAGGGCAGAGACAAGAGGATTGCTGGGGTTTGTGGCTGCCATCCAAGTACATAGGCCAGTGAGAGATCCTATCTCAGTGAAACAAGATTAAGAGTAGTTGAATTGGATATCCAACATTCTGTTCTTTTCTGACCTTCATGTATGTGCATAAATACATACACACACACACACAGGCATACGCCACACTCAAACACACACATATATACTTACTGCCTCTGTATACATACTTTGTCGAAGAAAGTTTGTCCATGAATGGAGATACTTCGGTACATATTTGTAGACATATATATATTAATGGTAATTGTGCTATTTTAGTTTCTTTAATTTGCAGATTTGTGCATATAAATTTCAATGTATCAATGCTGTCTTTAAAAACAACTTACTAGTATTTATATTTTTTGCATCTCAACTACAGTTTCCCCTCCCTCCTCTCTTTCCAGCCCCTCGCTCTGCATCCCTAATACTCCTGCCCCCATCCACTCCTCCAGTTCTCTTCAGAAAAGCGCAAGCCTCCCATGGATGTCAACTAAACATGAAATATCAAGTTGCAGTTAGACAGTTTTCTTTGTCTTAGTTAAGATTTTGTTACTATGAAGAGACACCATGACCATGGCAACTCTTATAAAGAAAAGCATTTCAGAGGTTTAGTCCATGGTGGGAAGCATGGCAACATGTAGGCAGACATGGTGCTGAAGAAGTAGCTGAGAATTTCTACATCTTGATCCACAGATAGCAGAAATGAATGCCACACTAGGCCTAGCTTGAACATCTAACAATACCATGCCTAATTCCAACAATTCTCCTAATAGTGCCACTGCCTGTGGACCAAGTATTCAAACACATGTGTTTATAGGGGCCATTCCTATTCAGACTATATCACAGCCTTCATGTATGTGTGCTGTATGTTCCTGGTGCCTGTAGAGGCTAGAAGATGGTATTGGATCCCCTGGAAATAATATGAGTTGTGGATGTTGTGAGCTGCTGTGTGGGTCCTGAGAACAAACCATGGTTCTCTGCAACAACAAGTGCTCCTAAGCACTGTGGGCTAGTTTTAGGTCAGCTTGATACAAGATAGAGTCATTTGGGAAAAGTGACTCAGCTGAGAAATTTCCTCTGAAATACTGGTCTGTAGCTAAGTCTGGTAGTGCATTTTTTAAATTAGTGACTACTGGGGAGGACCCAGCCCTTTGTGGGTGGTGCCACTTTTGGGCTAGTGGTCCTAAGAAAATGGACCTAGCAAGCCATAATAGGCAAGCCAGTAAGTAGCTTTTCTCCATAGCCTCAGAATCACCTTTTGCCTCCAGGTTCCTGCCCTGCTCGAGTTCTTGCCCTGACTTCCTTCAGTGATAGGCTGTGATATGGAAGTGTAAGGGAAGTAAACTCTTTCCTCTCCAAGTTGCTTTGGTCATGTTGTTTTATCACAATAGAAGCCCTAACTTGAGACAATCACAGAGCCATATCTCTACCTTGTTACCCCCTTTGTATTTAGACAAGGTCTCATAACCCAGGTTGCCCTTGAACTGGCTGTGTAGCTCAGGAGAATCTTGAACTCCTGAACTCCTGACATTCCTGCCTCTACCTCCAGAGCAGTGGGATTACAGATGTGAGCCATCATACTCAGTGTTCAGGTTTGTTGTGTTTTTGTTTTTAATATGACTGATTTTCAAATACGATTCTCTAAAAAGTTGACACTTCACACTTAAATACTTTAGATTTCAGTTTATTTTGTGCATTCAGAAGTGTACATGTATGTTTGATGGTACATGTGTGAATATCAGAAAACAATTTGTGGGAATCTGTCTTTTACCATGTGGGTTCTGGAATCAAGTTCAGGTCATTAAGTAAGTAAAGTAAGTGTGTGTGTGTGTGTGTGTGTGTGTGTAACTAATATTCATTTATCAAAATAGAAATAGCCATGGTGATGCACACCTTTAGTCCCAAGAGACAGAGGCTGGTGGATCTTGATGAATTCAAGGCCAGCCTGCTCTACATAGTAAGTTCCAGGTTAGCCAGGGCTTTACAGTGAGACCCTATCATTAGAAAAAAGAAAAAGAAAGAAAGAAAGAAAGAAAGAAAGAAAGAAAGAAAGAAAGAAAGAAAGAAAGAATATTCTTCAGGACCCCCAAATTAAGTTCCAAAGATAACATCTACTGTCATGATAAATTTTACTTTGTTTTTAGATTTGTGTGTGTTTCTTTTGACCATATATTTGTGTGCATACCACATGCATATCTGGTGCCTGAACAAGTCAGAAGATCTCCTCTGAAACTGGAGTTGCAGGCAGTTGTGAGCTGCTGTGTGGGTACTGGGAACTGAAGTCTTCACACTTAATTAACCACTGGGCTGTCTCAGCTCTGTGGTGAATTTTATATCCAGCATCAACCTGTCACAGACACTCTACGTAGAGTGGTTATTTAATTCATGGTTATATAAGGTTATTTATAAGTTATATAACTGAATTATAAGTGATTAGTATAACATCTCAGTTCTTTAAGCATATTGCTATATACCAGAAATATCTAATAAATTTGTACTTTGAATTTTATAATTCAGTAACATTGTTAATAGCCAAGCAGTGGTGGCGCACGCCTTTGACCCCAGCATTTGGAAGGCAAAGGCAGCCTGCCTTCCAAGACAGCCAGGACTGTTACACAAACCCTGGCTCGGAAAAAAAATATATAAGTAAATAAAGAAGAACATTGTTAGTATTTTGAGATAGGGTTTCATGTACTCCAACTCATAGTGTAGCTGAGAATGACCATCATTTCCTGATTTTTCCTTTCACTACATCCAGCAGAAGCATGTATGTTCTACCAACTCTTGCATTGTAAACAGTGAGTGCCACTATTGAAATTAGTATTTTCTGTTTAAGTACTAGATGGCACCGATGTAAAGCAGGTGTCCTCTAATGGTTTGTAAGGTTTTCCTGCTATTGAAGCCAACATATAAGCTGATTTGCTTTTTCTCATCTGCACAAGAAGTTACATAGAACTGCCTGGGTTTAAATGAAAAGTAATGTTCAACAGAGTAATGAGTTAAATAAATGCACCATTTGCCAAAATGCATGCTCAGTGACTCCCTTTGAGCAGATTGCTTTCGTTTGACTTTCCTGCCATAAGTGGCATCAGTCTTGCTTTTATGGAATAGTAAATGTCAGTATTTTGTACAAATTATATAATCACCCTAATTCTTGCAATTTGATTACTAATTTTTCGTTGAAAAACACTTTTAAAATTAATTGCTGAAGAAAGATATAACCACCAACAAAATAAATAATAAAGATTTGGGTAATACAGTAAAAGTAAAATCAGTGAAGCAAGATAGGTCAGAATATTCTTCATCTGCTCTAAGACAGGATGCTAAACATTTATTTCCCATGGGGATTTTTGGATACCTAAGTATGTTTTGGTTTAATTGTTTTTAGTACATTTTGTTTGTATTTGTGTGTGTGTGTGTGTGTATGTGTGTGCATGTGTACATGTTCATGTGTGTTCATTTGGAGGACAAGGGACAACTTGGCAGAAGTCATTTCTTTCCATGTGAGTCCTGGAGATCAAATTAAGGTCACCAGGATTGACAGAAGCTCCTTTACTTGCTGAGCCATCTCTTTGGGCCTTTTTTTTTTTTTTTTGGTTTTTTGTGTTGTTGCTGTTTGTGAGTGAGTCAGTCTCTATGTTTAAGTTGGTATTGTAGGTGGATATGTGCATGTGGAGGCTAGAGGTCAACAATGGAGGCTTTCCTCTAGTTTCTCTACCTTATTCACCAATTTGGCTGGACTGGCTGGCCAGTAAACTTAAGGCATCCACCTGTCTCCACCTCCCTGAAGCTAAGATTACAGATGTACTATGTAATACTCAGCTTTCTATGTGTGGCCCAGGGATCTAAACTCCAGCCCTCCTTTTTGCACAGCAAGTTCTTTACCTGCTGAGCTGTTTGTTTCTCTAGCCCATTTGTGGGATGGGGGTTGTTTTGTTGTTTTATGTGTAAGGATATTTTGCCTGAGTGTCTGTCTGTCTGTCTCTCATGCTCACAGAGACCAGAAGAGGGTATCACATCCCTGGGACTGGAGTTAACAGATGTTTGTAGGCTGCCCTGTGGGCTCTAGGAATCAAACCTGGGTCTTCTGGAAGAGCATCCAGTGCTCTTTATCATCTCTATCCTTGATTTGTTGTTTTCTGAAGACTCCTGATAATGTTCAGAATGGTGTCTTAACTCCAAAAATCAGATGATCCTCGTGCCTCAGCTTCCCACATGTTGGGAAAGGTACATGCCATGATGGCCCATTCCAACTTTGTTATGTTGGCCCCTTCTAGCTGCTTTATATATGTTTTCATATAGTCCCTAGAACAGTAAGTTAGTATGACACATGGCCCAGGAGACTAAAATTTTGCAAATTCCTCTAACCATTGCCTGAGGCTGAATAAAGTTACTTGTCACTAGCCATTAGTCTCCTTTCATGGGTGAGCAGATAGTTTTATTAGCAGATAGTATCCTTAAAAGGGAAATGGATGACACTGGTAATTACCTATCAGCTTTCCTATTTTACCATTTGTTGAGAGTAAGAATTCTGTGCCTCTCACTTGTCAACAAAAAAAGACCATGACAGAAATTTGGAACTAGGAAGTAGAGGACTACCAAATCTTTTCTGGTTCATTTTTTTCTGTAGCTATTAGTAATACTTTTCAGTCATTTCATGGGGAAAATTTATGCCCATTTCTAGAGTACCCAGTATCTTCGATAGCTTTCTTAGGGAAATAGGTTAGAGCTAGTGTACACTCTTATTTTATCCCTCTGTTGTACATAATCAGAATACATAACTATGTTGATTTGTTAATTAGGTTTTTTTCTTACCCCAGCAGCTATATGAGAAAAAACAATATTGCCTCATGTTATATTCATGACCCTAAGCACAATGGTCTGCCCATAATAAAGGCTAAACAAATACTTGTTAAGTAAATGAAAACATGAATAAGGGACAGTGAGGTGGCATAGGGTAAAAGCATTTGTCACGGGGTCTAATGACCTGAGTTAGATCAACAAGCCCCACATGGTGGGAAGAGAGAAACAACCCCTGCAGATTGTTCTCTAACCTCTATATCTAAGCTACAGTGTGTGCACGCATGCACTAAATGTAATAAAAATTCTGAGAAAAAGTGAACAAGTAAATGAACAGAACAGAAGGGATACCTTGCCATTAGCAGGTATGTCCCAGTTGATACATCACTGGGTTTGAGATATCAGTAGAATGCCCTTAGCAGTAGACAACATTCTTTTCTAGGTGCCTCAGGCTTGTATAGAATATTCTGAAAGTATAATAGATATGAGTAATTATATTTAGTTAAGTGTGTAACTTGGGGGGTGGGTTCAAGTTCAAGACAGGGTTTCTCTGTAGCTTCGGAGTCTGTCCTGGAACTGACTCTGTAGACCAGGCTGGCCTCAAACTCACAAAGATCTGCCTGCCTCTGCCTCCCGAGCCCTGGGATTAAAGGCGTGTGCCACCACTACCCAGTTTAGTGTGTGACTTTTATATATTGTAAGTGCTTATAAATTAATAGCACTTACTGAATTCTGTCTTAAGTATTTTTAGTGTGTTGTAGTTTGAATATCCCCCATAAACTCACATGTTTGAATAGTTGGCTTGTAGAGAGTGGCACTATTAGGAGGTGTGACCTCATTGGAGGAAGTATGTCTCTATGGGGGCAGGCTTTGAGGTCTCATATGCTCAAGCTACATATGTGGGACACACACACCTGCTGCTGCCTGTGAATCAAGATGCAGAACTCTCAGCTCCTTGTCCAACACCATGTCTGCCTGCATGCCACCAGCCATGATGATAATGAACTAAACTTCTGAACTGTAAGCCAGCCCCCAAATAAATGTTTCCCCTTATACGAGTTGCCTTGGTCATGGTGTCCCTTCACAGCAATGGAAACCCTAAGATAGTGTTGTCTTGTGTAATTCTAACAAAGATGTGAAATATTACTATGCCTGTGTTTTATATGAATTTACTGAGGCTTAGAGAAATTAAATGTCCTAACACTAGTAGGTATATCATAAGAAAGTGTTTTAGGGGCTGGAGAGATGGCTCAATGGTTAAGAGAACTGGCTTCTCTTCTAGAAAACCAGTTTAAATTCTCAGCACTCATGTAGCAACTCATAACTGAAAACTAAACCCAGGAATCTGATGCCCTCTCTTGGCTTCCACAGGCACCATGCACACATGTAGTGCATAGAAGTACATGCAGGCAAAACACCCATATACATAAAACTTTAGGAAAGAAAAAAGAATGTGCTTTCCCACTCCTAACTGCTGGAGATTGAACCTGTAGCCTTGTGTATGCTAGGCAAATGTTCTACCACCAAGCTCCATCTTCAGCCCCAAGTATGGAAATTTGATCATACCTTTAAATTGTAGACACTGCCAGTGAAAATTACATTTTTTTCTTTGCTTGTTTGTTTATTTGGCTGGTTGGTTTCTCGATGGGTGGTTGTGGCACACGCCTTTAATCCCAGCACTCAGGTGGCAGAGGCAGGTAGATCTCTCTAAGTTCGAAGCCCACCTGGTGTGCAGAGCTAGTTCTAGGACAGCCAGGACTGCTACGAAGAGAAACCCTGTCTCGAAAAACCAAGGACAGAACAACAAAAAACAAGACACATTTTCTCAATGTAACACTCCTGGGATGTCCAGAACTCTATCTGTAGACCAGGGATGCAATAAGAGAATAGAACAGAAATAGTTTTTAGGAGATTTAACTAGCTAAGAGTTCTTTGGGTTTCAAATTAGGAAGATGTTTATAGAAATGAAGGGGAAACTAAAGATTCCAATAAGAAGCAAATTGGTAGTATGCAAATCCATTCTGTGGAGGTAAGAAAAAGAGTTATAAATCAAAGATAGCTTAGGTTCCTGTTAGAAGGTGGTGGCCTGTGTCCATAATCTCAGCACTGCAGAGGCTAAGGCGAGAGGGTCGTGTTTCACAACAGCCAAAGGTATAATGAAACCTAACTCTAAAGTAAAAGTACCTCTGAAATTAGGTAGGATGGGGGATTGGTATTAGTATTTTGAGAATTACTCTTCAGTTGGTTTCCTTTAAAAAAAATTCCCAAATTTAATTTTTTTTACATAAATCAAATTAAAATAGTTATTTCATGTACCCTAACAGCAGGAAGATGCAATAGCACAACAGGCCTTCGAAGAGGCTCGAAGAAGAACTCGTGAATTTGAGGATAGAGACAGGTCTCACCGGGAGGAAATGGAGGTGAGAGTTTCACAGCTGCTGGCAGTAACTGGTTAGTACTTTCCCCAAACTCTCAGGCTATGTTTGTGATATTTATGTGCAATGTTTTTTAATGGTTTGATTTTGTCTTAATTTTTAATTATATATTGTTTGAATTTATTATATGCAATTGCTATAAAAATATAAATATTCTAATTTTAAGGTTGTATATTGATTTCTCATTGATCTTCACAAAAGAAAACTTACAAGGTATATTTTCTTTCAGTTCATTGATTCAAATACTTTTGTTCAGCCTCTTGCTGCCTCCAATTTCTATCACACACTTACTTGTAAAAAGTGCCTCTTGAATAGTTCATTATCAAAACATTTACTAAAAATCCTTGGAGGGCTAATACTATTTTCTGCTTTTCTATGCTATTAATCTTGGTTTTGAAAATTACCAGTGTAGGTCTCTTTGTTCATTCTCTTCCAGTGCTGAGCATTTAACCCAAGGCCTGAGGAAGGCTGGGCAGATGGTTTATCATATGAACCACGATTCCCAGTCCATTATTTTGAAACAGAATAGATTTTGTCATTTGTGTAACCCTTTAGAGGACAGCTTAATATTTTCGAAATACTCTAAGAATGAAGTTAACAGAGAGTGTGTGTGTGTGTGTGTGTGTGTGTGTGTGTGTGTGTGTGTCACTTGCTTCACTTGAAGAGGACCCAGGTTTGGTTCCCAGCTCCTACATGGCAGTTCGTGACTGTAACTCCAGTTCCATAGGAGCCAGTGCCCTTTTCTAATCTCAGGTACACACATAGCATGTATGCATGCATACATACATGCATGCAAAACACTCATCAGATACATAAACACAAAAATAAATCTAAAATATTTTTAAAATACAGCCGGGCAGTGGTGGCACACGCCTTTATTCCCAGCACTCGCGAGACAGAGGCAGGCGGATCTCTGTGAGTTCGAGACCAGCCGGGTCTACAAGAGCTAGTTCCAGGGCAGCCTCCAAAGCCATAGAGAAACACTGTCTTAAAACAAAAAAACAAAAAAACAAAAAAAAATATTTTTAAAATACACTTTTATACTTAAAACTTTCACGATAACAAATAAAACTTGGATATCACAACAATCTCCTCTGTTTGCATATCGAATTGTAACCTCGATCTATTCAAAAGTAACCATTACCTCAATTTGTGTAGTAACTACTTCCTTCTGTTTCTGTGAGTTCGAGAACATCCTGGTCTACAGAGTGAGTTCCAGGACAGGCTCCAAAGCTACAGAGAAGCCCTGTCTGGAAAACCCAAACAAACAAAAAGCCTCACTATGTGTGTATTCCTGGCTGTTATAGAATTCACTCTGTTTGTAGGCTAGGCTAGCTTCCAACTCAAGAGATTCACCAGTCTCTGCCTCCTTAGTGCTGGGCCTAAAGATGTGCACCACCACCCATTGTGCAGTTCTTGATATCTTGCATTTCTTAGCATTTTGCTTATTGTACTCTAAGCTATGCTTTTCTACCCATTCATCAAGGTGTAGTTTAAGTCATGTCAGACCTTTCTCAGGTCTTCTTAATCAGTTCTGCTTTGTAGTTTCCATGGCACTTAATTTCTTTCTGCCTTATTTTCCCTTTCTGCCTCCCCTCACGACTTGTACCACTGTTCGTTCTTCCTCCTCTTGCCCCTCTTACCCTTTTGTAGTATGTTTGCTTTTGGTTTTTTGGGGTTTTTGGTTTTTGGGTTTTTTTTGTTTTGTTTTTGGTTTTTTTGTTTTTGTTTTTGTTTTTTTTAAGATAGAGTCTCCTCTAGCACAAGCTAGATGAACTCACTGTATCAACAGAATCAAAGTTGAATTATTGATCCTCCTGACTTCAGCTCCTAAAAGCTGAGTATCGGCATGTGCTGCCACTCCCAGCCACCTCTTCTTATTTCTGTTTAAGTATCTATTGAGCTGTATGTTGAAACAACTATAAAATGCAATGCATCTGTCCTTTCCTTCCTTGAGATTTCATAAAATGAAACCCCTTTTTTTTTTTTTTTTTTTTTTTTTTGCCTTTAGTTTTTTCAAGACAGGGTTTATCTATGTAGTTTTATAGACCAGGCTGGTCTCAAACATGCAGAGATCCACTCCACTTGCCTCTGCCTCCGGAGTGTTGGGATTAAAGGCATGCACCGCCACTGCCCCTCGAAATCCTTATTCTTTGTCCCCTAAGTTATCTACCACAATGTTTATGCATTGTGTTTACTTGGTGCATGAACATCTTCCAGACAGCAGCTCTATCCTACCTGTCTGAGAGCTGAGGTTTTTTTTGTTGTTGTTTTTTTGCTGTTGTTGTTATTTTGGTTTTGTCTGTTTTTTGTTTTGTTTTCAGCAAGGTCTCTCTGTGTAATACAGGCTGGTCTCAAACTCACAGAGATCTGCCTGCCTCTGTCTCTAGGGTGCTAGGATTAAAGGTGTGTGCCACCACTCCTAGGTTTTTAATAAAGATTCTTAAATTTGTTGGTTTGTGTTAATTGGTTAATTAGTGGCCTGTGTTGTGCTGAACTCTTCAATAGACTCATACCTTTGCACATCTTTCAGTCTTGGCAGAAAGTGAATCTTGTCAAGACAGAGAGTGTGGTCAGCCTTTCTTTAGTAAATGAGTATTCTTGAAGAAATGACTGAGAATCAATGGGGTAGCTAGTTACTTAGGAAGCTTTCATATATTTCTTGGGTTCAATTATTGTATAAAGTGTTTGTTTATATGACGTGTCTCGCTGTATAGCCCTGGCTGGCTTAGACCCTTTTGCCAGAGAATTTCTTAGTGCTGAAATTAAATGTGTGCCACTGTTGTGCCACTGTGCCCAAAACAAATTATCTAATTTAAATAGTCTGGTACTGTTGCTAATTTACAGTGTTGTCACTTGAATATAAATATATTTGGCTGTGCACAAAAGTAAAACCTGTTGACAGAGGTGCCAAGTAATTTTTCATTTAGATAGAATATCCCACTATCTAGTCAGCAGTTGAAAGCCTGGGCTTTGTAGTCAGGCCCAGTTCACATTCCTGTTCAGTCACTTGCCAGTCTGTCTCAAGCCCCAGTTTTATTGCAGAAATTGTCACAATTCAATGAGAAACACTTAGAAAATACTAATGTGTTCAGCCCGAGTGTGCCCACAGAAATAATAGCTCTAAAGTGCTTCCTTAGTGCTAAAAGCTCTGCCTGGTGCTGGCTCTGGTTAATTGAATTGTCTGGCTGATGGAGCATCCTTTTAGTTCTCTAAAGTGTATTGGGCACTAAAGCATTATGACCTAGAAGACAGAGAAAAAGGTTAAATTTTCATCAATGATTTAAGATCCACTTGTCCAGCGGTTCTCAACCTATGGATCTCAACCCCTTTGAGGGGTGGCAGATCAGATATCCTGCATATCAGATATTTACATTACAATTCATAACAATAGCAAAATTATAGTTATGAAGTAGCAATGGAAATAATTTTATGAGGAACTGTATTAAAGGGTCACCACATTAGGAAGGTTGAAAACTACTGCTCTAGACCTTTATAGCAATAATTTGAAATAATTAGTTCTTTTACAGAGCTGTAATCTAAAACAGTGGGCTGGAATCTGTCTCCAGAGTACACACTGGCAACTGAGGAGGGGTTTATGGTCCTGTGTGTCTTGTGGTGCTTCTGTGTATCTTGCCCTTCTTCCCTATATTCCTGTGTTACTATTAGTCCTTCCTAACAGTTTGCTTTTTTTGACTGTTTACATCTTAAAAAAAAAAAAAACAGTGAAGCTGGGCAATGGTGGCCCAAACTCTTAATACCAGCACTCAGGAGGCAGAGGCAGGCATATATCTGAGTTACAGGCTAGCCTGGTCTACAGAGTGAGTTCCAGGACAGACAGGACTATTATTCAAAGAAACCTTGTCTTGAAAAAACAAAACAAAACAAAAAACCGAAAGAAAGCATTTCATCCCTATAATTTAAACATCTTGGGTGAAGTTTCCCACTCTGGAGACAGGGCAGATAGATGTGTCTGCAGTTTGAGGCCAATTTAAACCGAATAGTAAATTCCAGGCCATCCAGGACTACATAGTGAGACTCTTTCTCAAAAGATACGGGAAGTGGGAGTTGGTTAGGAGGGGTGCCACTGGAGCGATGGCTCGGCTATTAATAGCCCTGACTGCTCTTCCAGAGGTCCTGAGTTCGATTCCCAGCAATCATGTGGTGGCTCTCAACCATCTGTAATGAAGTCTGGTGCCCTCTTCGGGCCTGCAGGCACACATGCAGTCAGAACTCTATACATAATAAGCAAATCTAAACACACACACACACACACACACGCACGCACGCACGCACGCACGCACGCACGCACTGACACACACACACACGTATCATCTTTGGGATGTTAAATATCATCTAATTCATTTTTATAACAGTTTGTAAAATTAAAACTCCCAGAAAAGTTGACATACTGTCCTTCAAATAGTTTAGTAGTAGAAGAAAAAGCAAAGAATTAAGCCATAGTTTTCTAACCAGGGCATCTGCACAAATATAGTCTAGCAATAGGAAATGATGACTGAACTGAATAATAAAGTCTGCCAGAGGACATTAGAAATCATTTTCTCTGGAATTAAAAGGCTGAGACAGAAAAGAATAATACTGGTTCTAGTGGGTGGTCCTGATGCCTGACTAGGAATGAGGGCCAGGGAACAGTGGTAACTCGTGGGTGGCACTGAGTAATGATCTTTGGAAGCCTGAGATTTTTAGCATCACTGAAGCTTAGGGTGTCTACCACTGTTTGAATAACTTCTGAAATCTCTTGCCTTGCCATACTAAAGTTGTAATGATACTGCTCATGAACATTTAATACTTACATAAGGTTAACATTCTGTTGGTGGGAAGCAGAACTTCAAGGGGTTGGTGGCTTAAGGCTTTTCAGTTTTCACTGTTGTCTATATGAAATTCCTTTTGTATGAAGACTCCTTGTAAATATTTCCAGTTTGAAATCTGTAAAATGTTCACTTTTCTATCCATCATTCATGATATGATTTAACATTTCCTTTTTTTTTTTTTTTT